GTATGTAAGGTGGTGGTTCTTACCTTGGAATGCACAGTGGAATCACACAAGAAACTTGTGAGAATTCTGATGCCTGGGTTCCACCCTCAGTGATTGATTTACTTAGTCTTGGGTGTGGACTCAGCATCTAGTTTTTTAAAAGCTCCACATACAACCCCAACATATAATCAAGGTTGGAAATCTCTGACATAGGGTAATGAGACACAGAAGAGAAGACTCGGCTATCCCAAAGGAGGAATCAAAGTAAAGCTTAACCAGTAGAATCAAACAAGGAGGATAAAGAAAAGACTTTCCAGGCACAGATAATACAGAGAAGAAAGAAACAGTGCTTTCCCCCGCCATTGAAAAAAACTCTAGATTACTCATTATAATACGGTGTTTAGCCAACACAGGTGGGGATTTGGCAGGGAATAGTGAACATAGAGGAGGAAAGCAATAGCAAGAGATGAAGCTGAAAACATGGATGTTCATTCATACCTTGCTAAGTTTGGACTTGGTCTTAGAATTGGGAATCAATAGATTTCTAAGGAGAACAACATGACTGTATTTGAACAGTTTTAGGAAAATAACTCTTCCAACTAAGGTGGTAAATTGGACTGATGGTATAGAAGTTCCAAGCAAGATGCCCAGTTACTGCGAAATCCAAGTTAAAAAATAGTGAGGGTCTAAATAAAGGTTAATGGCAGTAGACCTAAATAGGAAAATGACAGATTTGTAAAATACTGGAGGAGGAGGAATTGACAGGATGTTGACTGTGGGTTAATAGGATGACTCTGTGTTCTTAACTTGAGTAACAGGATGGATGGTTGGACTGTTGACCAAAACGGGAATGCTAGATGTTTACTGGGAGAGGGAAAGGTGGATAATTAGAGAATGGACAGAGGAAATGAGCCATCAGTTTGTCTAAGAAAGATGTTAGGGTAACAGGAGTAAAACCAAAAACAAATGGTGAAGTGGAAACCCAAGAACTAATATTTCAGAGAGGGAATAATCAAAAGTATCAGGTGCTTTAGAATAATCAAAGAGTGTGAAGAATAACAAATACCCATGGGTCAGTGGAGCAGTTTCGCAGGAATGGCGCTTCTAAAACCCTGATTGCGATTTATTTAAGACTGAATTTTGACTACAGTAAAAAATGTGGAGTTGATTGATTTAGGAAACTCTTTTCCTACTCCTAACACATAAAGTCCAGTTAAAAATATATTACTTTAAGGGCACCTGGGTGGCTCAGTTGGTTAAGCATCTGCCTTTGCCTCAGGTCATGATCTTGGAGTCCTGGGATCAGCCTGGCGTCGAGCTCCCTGCTTGGCCGAAAGTCTTCTTCTCCTTCTCCCACTGCTCCACCCCGCCACGCGCCCCCTAACACACTCATGCTCTCTATCTCAAATAAAGTCTTATATATATATATCTAAAACTTCAAAAAAAATTTAAAAATATGTAGCCAATCTCAAAAGGAAGAAAAGCAATTCTCCATATGCCCCAAATAAAAGAGGATCTAAAAGCCATAGCAGTAAGCAGATATTGAAGTTGAGTGGCCCACAAAAGTATCAAGACTTCATAGAATAGTTGTCTTTGTTTGGGCTGCTGTAACAAAATGGTACAGATAGGATGGCTTCTGAAAAACAGTAATTTATATCTCACAGTTTGGGAGGGTGGAAGTTCAAGACTAGTATGCCAGAAGGGTCAGGTGTGGCTCTCTTCTAGGTCAGAGACATCTTATTGCTTTATCACATGGTAAAAGAGGCTAGGGAGCTCTGTGGGATTTCTTTATAAGGGCACTAATCCCACTCATGAGGGCTCTACCCTTATGACCTAGTCTCTTCCTAAAAGGCCTCACTTCTTAACACTGTAACATCAGTAGTAGGATTCCAACATGTGAGTTTTCAACAGACACAGACATTCAGATCATAGCTGAATTCAGACCCAAGTAGTGGCTGGCATCTTAACACCTGCATGGCAGGGAGTTTTATCTGTGCAGAAATTATGCAAGGGATTTTTCCTGTGGGTGGAACCAGGAAAACTCTAGACTTGAGAATGAGCCACCCAACTTGGAGAGTAGAAAAGTGGCCTCTAGAAGAAATCAGAATTACACAGGTGTAAGTAAGGACCCCAATTTGCCCTTCCCATGTTGGGAGAGAATGTTTTAAGTTAAAAAAAAGGCGGGGGGGGGGATCTTAAAACCTTACTTGGAACTAGTGAAACCTGTAGGATCCAGAAGAGGCAAATGCAAATCGCCTAATAGTGACATCTCTAAAACTCAGAGCAAATGTGAAATTCCCACTGAGGTGGAGCTTGCAGGCCAATAGCTGATCACATGAGAAAAGAAGGAAAATGCAACTCACAAGACATTTGACATCCAAAGAACTACCAAAAGATGTAAAGCCACGTGTAAAAACTTTAAAATTGCTGCTTTTTAAAATACTCAAAAATAGGGCACCTGTGGCCTAGTGGTTAAGAGTCTACCTTTGGCTCAGGTCATGATCCCGGATCCTGGGATTGAGTCCCACCTCGGGCTCTCCGTAGGGAGCCTACTCCCTCTGCCTGTCACTGCCTCTCTCTGTGTGTCTCTCATGAATAAATAAATAAAATCTTAAAAAATAAAATAAAATACTCAAAAAAATAAAGAATAGAATCCATTAATACAAGGGCAGATCATTTTGGAGGAGGGAGGGCAGTGGATTTCTTAAAAAAACTAAAGAGAAAAATCTGGAAAGGAAAAATACACTAATTGAAAACATTTCAAAAAGTATTAGGTGGGTTAAATCCCAGAGTAGATCCTGGAGAAAGAGAATTCATAAATTGAAAACAATGAGTGAGAGATAAGGAAGAGCAATCAGTGAGTGAAGGCCACTCATTGGAGTGACAGTGTCTGTGACAGGTAGGGAGGAGCTTCACTGAGAAATGCTAGATGAAGGAAGAGGCTGATTCATTAATTCTTTAAAAAAAAAAAAAAGAATAGGGGGTTGGGAAATATATTGAGAGAGATCCTAGATAGGGAAAAGGAAAAAGCGATTTGGGGGACAGTAGGGAGGATCCCCAAGAGCCTAGATAAAGGGATTAACTGGAAGTAAATGAGGAAGAAACAGATTTGAAGATATTTCTGTGGGGGATAGAGGTGAAATGTTTGAGAGTATGTCATTAAGAATCCTCCTTTCTGTGTCAGATTCTGTGTCAGGAAGAATGTAGGGGATAAACAATGAGGAGATAAAGGGCAAAGGCTTAAAAAAATAGCACTGAGGGAATGGTAGGGGAAGCTGACCAGAGACAGGTAAAAGGAACACCAAAGAACATTGAGGGCCCACCTGGCACGCAGCATCATAAATGAGAGACAGTGCCCAGCAACCCTACCCCCCACAAACGTGTAAAAGGAAAGGTCCTGTGATCTATTTCTGTATTGCTGACCATAGTTACTGTTTGAAAACTTTTGCTTATAGTGAATAGAAGAATTCTAGGAATCAGCTGTGGTTCTTTTTTTTTTTTTCTTTAAGATTTTATTTATTCATGAGACACCCAGAGAGAGAGGCAAACACAGGCAGAGGGAGAAGGAGGTGCCCCACGGGGAGCCTGATGCGGGACTCGATCCTGGGACCCCAGGATCATGACCTGAGCCAAAGGCAGATGCTCAACCACTGAGCCACCCAGGCGCCCCCAGCTGTGGTTCTTTTAGTTATTCTAGCTTATTTTCAGAGAACCAGAGTAATACTGCTCCCTACAACATGAAATCTTATTACCTTGAGTGAGATTGCCTTGAGGCAAAGTTTTTAGGCTTCCAGCTTCTTTTGTTGGCAAACATTGAGTTGTCTGTTAGTTAAGGAGGCTTGATCATGCACGCACACCATACATATATTATATATTAAGAAGTGCATAATGTCCCCCCACTGATGATTCTTACACCAACATAAATTTCTGCCTGCGAGAGGGGGAAATCTCCTGGAGTCTGGGTCAACTTCAGAGGGGTAGCCAGCTAATTAGCACTCCCTTTGTAAATAAATGTCATTCCTGTTATCTCGAGTTGCTGATGGTTTTTAGACCATTGAAATTAGTTATAGTGACAAATGTTGAACAGAAGAAGTTTTTTAATTAAGTTGAAATTGAACATTTAAGATGAATTTACAAGGATTTTCTGGTAAAAGTGCAGTGTTAATAACTAACCCTTGGGCTCTATTAAAGGACTTGAAGCCTGTCACTCTAGGTCGATAGTCAAAGCCCTCTGGAGAGAGAAATAATCAAAGACTTTTTCTGCCTGACATCAGGGGCAAAAGGTTCCACTATGATGGTAGATTTACTTTGAATAGAGGAGTGTCCACAGTTCAAAAAGTACCTTCAAGTAGAACTAATTGGTGGTTTAAACCAAGAAGTCAGAGAACAACCTTTTATAACACTTGGTCACCTTTCCCATACCATTTATGTTGTTACTTAATAACATTCTTTTTTTTTTAAGATTTTATTTATTCATGAGAGACCCAGAGAGAGAGGCAGAGACATAGGCAGAGGGAGAAACAGACTCCCTGTGGGGATCCTAATGTGGGACTGGATACCAGGACCCCAGGATCACATCCTGAGCCAAAGGCAGACAATCATCCACTGAGCCACCCAGGGATCCTGACTTAATAACATTCTTTAATTCTATGTGGTTACCCTACTTCTTATTGGTTCAGCATCCGTCTTGAAAGATCTCCCCTAAAACTTGCCATATGTTTTTATTTATACTTAGGGACTAACTATGATAAGGGCAGTAAATCAGTATTACCTTTACCTTTCCCCATTACTCAACAGTGAAGACAATAAAAATGAAATTTAGTGATGGTTTCCCAGTAATGTGACCTGTTAATGGATGTCATGACTCCAACTCAGATAATGGATTATGTTAATAAGAGAGATGGCTGTGGTATCTTTTTTTTCTTCTTCTTCTTTTTTTCCTACAGCAAAGGTAGATGAAAAGTACTAACTGCATACCAGGCAATGTACTCAAGTGTCTCTTTTCCACTGATTGTGTTCAGGGGCATTGTCCAGTCAGAGGAGAAACTTGTCATCAGTGCATCTTGGGCAAAAGATGACGATATCAGCAGACTCTTGAAATCTCTACCAAACTGGATTAACATGGCTCAACCCAAACAGCTGAGGCCAAAGAGAGAAGAGGAAGAAGATTTCATAAGGTAAAAGATTTATTTTCTATGTTGTATTAAGCACTGGGAGCAAAAACATCAGTTTAGCTAATTCTTTCTTGAAGTTTGGGGCAATTCTAAATACCAAGTGGCAATGAACTGAACTTAGTAAAGTCTGTTTCTGTCCTAACATACCTCATTGCCCATGTAAATATGCCTTGTACTCAAAATTTTAGAAGGGATTGATGTGAATCAAATTTGGAGAATTGTTGAATCAAGTTAAAATATCTTTTAATTTGTAGGTCATTTTTCCCTCTAAGGGGAAGCTTGTAATTTACTCATTGATGCATTTATTTATTCGGCAAAGCTGTATTGACCTTATGTGCCATACCTTGGTGATGTGAGAGTTAACGATGTAAAAGTTCTTGCCCATACAGAGTATGTTAACATTGTTCTTCGCATGCTCTTCAGTTCATAGAACTTCTGCATATATAAATGAACTTCTTGTTTTTTCATATACGTTATGTTATCTCTAATTATTTCCTCTTTATTTTGAGAAAAGTAAGGCCTCAGCTTTATCACTCCACATTTACTTTTGTGCAATTTAAATTATTTATTAACCATGACGGTGTGGCTGCATGACTGGCTTGCCACAGTGAAATATTTCCACCTCTGTCACTTTAGAGCTGTGTAAAGTAGAAAAAAAAATTGAAGTATTACTTTGTCACATTAAAATTAGGTTTATTCTTATTGTTTTTGCCTATCCAAGTGAATAAATAAATAGTAAAAATAAAATAAAAGCACTTTAAAAGAGCAAAGACCAGAAAAGGAATAAAGGGAAGTAATGGCTAATATTTTACTTTTAATTCATCATAGAACCGCGGGCTCATCTTTTTCTCAGAATGTGGATTGCAACTATAGATTAGCAGGTTTTTATTGCTAAGTTAACTGTATTCATACATGAATAATAGTGCCACACATTTATCAACCTTATATTATGAAAATTTGTTATAGAGCCATTTAAAACCTTCTCAAAATCACAAGACCCAAAACTTCACACCTGTAATTTAACTAGATTGAGGGTTCACTTTTTAGATTAATAGACTTCATTTGAGGGGGAAGCAGTTTCAGTTTACAAAAAGTATTGAGCAAAGGGTATAGTGTTCCCTTCTACACCCTTCCCCACCACCTTCAATTTCCTCTGTTTTTAACATCTTACATTAATGGAAGATGGTACATGTGTTACAATTCATGAGCTAATGCTGATACATTATTATCAACTAAAGTCTGTAATTTACATTAGGGTTTGCTCTTTGTGTTGTACATTTTATGGGTCTTGACAAATATAAAATGGGTGTATCTACCATTAGTATCATTCAGAATCATAGTTACACTGTCCTATTCCCCATGCTATTCCTGCCTTCCTTTCCACAAGCCCTGCCAACTGTTGATTTTTTTTTTTACCATCTCCATAGTTTTGCTTTTTCCAGAATATAATAGAGTTGGAATCAAGTGTAGTCTTTTCAGATTGGCCTCTTGTGCTTAGCAATATGAATTTAAGATTCCTCCATGTCTTTTTGTGGCCTATTTTTTTAATCCCTGAGTAATATTACATTGTATGGATGTACTATACTTTGTCCCTTTAGCAGTTGAAGGACATTTTGACTGCTTCCAAGTTTTGGCAATTATAAACAAAGGAGCTATAATCACTCATGTACAGGTTTTTGTGCAGATGTGAGTCTTCGATTCATTGTTTTAACTTGTATTTCCCGAATGACATATGATTTTGAACATCTTTTCATATACTTATTTGGTATTTGTATATATATTTTTGTTGAGATACGGCTCATTTTTAAATTGGGTTGTATTTCCTTATTGTTGAGTTTGAAGAGTTCTTTGTATGTTTTGGATACTGTCCTTTATCTGATATGTGTTTTACAAAGATTTTCTTCCAGTCTGTGCCTTATCTTGTTATTCTCTTCACAGCTTCTTCTGTCAAACAGAAGTTTTACATTTCAATGAAATCCAGCTTCCTGCACTTTTTCCATCTACTTTCTGATTTTAATTATTTTATGTGATTCCACTTTTTCCTCTCTCTTAGCATATAAATTACACTTTTACCATTTTTTAGTGGTTTCTCTAGTTTGCTATATACATTTATAACTAATTCAAGTCTACTTTCAAATAACACCTGACTACTAAAACAGATAATGCAAGTACCTTATAACAAAGTATCCCTGATTCCTCCCTTCTATTCCTTATAACATTGCTATCATTCTTTATTTCATTCATCCACAGACTATAATCATTGTGTACATTGTTGCTATTATTCTTTTGAACAAATTGTTATCTGATAGATCAAGTAAGAATAAGAGAAATAAGTTCTATTTTCCTTCATTTATTCCTTCTCTAATACTCTTCCTTACCTAGTGTAGATCAAAGTTTCTGAACTAAATAATACTCCTTTGCCCTAAGGAACTTCTTTTAACATTTTCTGTAAGCCAGGTCCACTAGTGACAAATTCCCCCAATTTTTTTAATTGGTTTTATTACGTGATTCATAATTTGAGTGGCACCCCACCTAGCAAGTAGAGGGAAGCTCCCAGATTCCCTCAATTTTTGTTTGACAAAAATGTCTTTACTTCTCCTTCATTTTTGAAAAATAATTTTGCAGTGTACAAAATTCTAGGTTGGTGATTTTTTTTTCTTTTAACACTGTAAATATTTCACTTCATTATTCCTGCTTCCATGGTTTTTGAAGAGAAGTCTAATGCAGCTTTTATCTTGGTTCTTCAGTAGATAAGGTAATTTTTTTGACCTCGGGCTTCTTTCAAGATTTTATTCTTTGTTTTTGATTTTGTGCCATTTGAATATCATATGCTTAGGGGTGAGTGTGTGCGTGTGTGTGTGTGTGTGTGTGTGTGTGTGTGTATTTCATGCTTGGCATTCTCTGAGCTTTCTATGTCTGTGATTTGATGTCTGCCAGTGGTTTGGGGAAATCCACAGTCATTATTTCTTCAAATATTTTTTCTGTTCCTTTTTCTCTGTCCACATATTATACCTTTCTTAATTGTTCCACAGTTCTTAGACATTCTGTCCTGTCTTTTCATTCTTTTTTCTCTTTGGATTTCAATCTTAAAAGTTTCTATTGACATTTCTTCCAGCTCACTGATTCTTTCCTTGGTTATGCTCAGTGTATTGATAAACCCATCAAAGGTACTCTTCATTTCCATTGTGGTGTGTTTGATATCCAGCATTTCCTTGTGATTCCTTCTTAGAGTTTCCATTTCTCTGTTTACTTTACCTAAAATAAACTATAGTTTATTTTTTATTGAATTTATATTATATATGAGCACATATCAAAGGCACAGCTTGGTAAATTTCCCTTCTTTTTTTATTGTATAACCTATACCCAGATCAAGAAACAAAGCATAGCAACAAGGAGCCTTTTCGTGCTTCCTGCTAGTCACTACTTGCATCTCCAAGTTACCCTTATCTGACTTCTAAACACATAGATTAATTGAATCTGTTTTTGGATTTTATATAAATTGAATCATGCACTTATGTATTCTTTTATGACTGGTTTCACTTGTCTTATGTTGGTGAGCTTCCTCCATATTGTTGGGTATAGGTCCTTATTACTCTATAATATGTAGTGTATTACATTGTTTGAATGCACAAGTTTTTTTTTAATTGTGTGTGTGTATGTGTGTGTGTGTATACATATGTATATATATATGTATTCCTATCAGCAGTAGAATTAATGAATGTATATATATTAATTCTACTGCTGATAGGAACCTGGGTAGCTTCTAGGATGGAACTATTGCAAATAGTGCTGCTGTGCATATTGTACTGTATGTATTCCGGTAGCCATTTGTATATATTCCAGTTGCTCAATATCTCACCTCTACTTAATATTTCCCCTTTTTTTTTTAATTTTAGCCACCTGGTAGGTTTGTAGAGGTCTCTCACTGTGGCTTAATATGCATTTCCCTCATGACCAATGAAGTTGAGCGCCTGTTAATGTACTTTTACATATTTACTGGCCACTTGAATATGCTGTCTTATAATATATTTGGTCATATCTGTTGCCAAATTTTCAATTACATTGTCTGTCTTTTCCCTACTGAATTGTAGGCATTCTTTATGTATCAGGATGCAACTTCTTTGTTAGAGATAGATGGATAGATATTTTAGAAATCCTTACTTATACCAAAATCATAGAGATATTTTTCTCAAGAACCTTTTTTGTGCCGAATATATTTTTCCCTAGCATCTGAAATAAATTATAAACTCTTATATATTTATTTCCTATCCCTATTCTCTACAGTTCCCCTAAATTTAGATCACATTGCCATGGCAATAATAGCAGAGAGTAGCCTCAGGATTTTTATCTATCAAGGGAGATAAAGAATGATTGAGACATTGATTAATTGTAGCCTCAAGTAAAAATAATCAAACTGACCTTAGGACAGAAGTCAGGCCATGGACTCCATTCGTTCTTAGTATTACCATCATGTTTTCCTGCTGCCAGATTTTTAAGAGATCTGGATAAGCATATTCCCACACCTTCTCTTTAAGTATGTCTACTAAATCATATCTGTAACCTGAATAGTTTTATTAGAACCAATTTCTAGAGGATAAATTACTTTTCCCAACTTTTCAGGTTATATTAAATGAATGTAAATCTTCCTGTTTCCTCAGCTTATTATTATTTAACTCCTTAATTGTCTTCTATGCTTGCAAAGAGTTAGTTTTATTAGTTTTATTAGTATCTCCAGTAGCTCAAAAGGATGGGCTTCTAGCCCTATTCCAAAAAAGAGAATGTTGATCCAAAGAGCTACATGTCCATGTACCACCTCATGCTTCTGATACAGTAAAGGTGGATGAGGGCCCTTTCTTATTCCTGCTTTGCTCACTGAGTAGTATCACCTTCTATCTTAAATTTGAAGGCAAAACAACTTTATATATGTTTTTAAAAATGTTTGGTGAATTATAGTATACATGAAGGCAAGTGTAACCTTAGGTATATAACTCTGTCAAATGTTA